TACATGATAAATATATTTTTTAAATTTAGCTATTTAACTTATCTAATAAATGTTTTATTTTTATTCAATCCGAGCTAGCTCAGTCTTCAGGTACTGTAACATTAATTGTTGTGCACACCTTGACAACAATTAATTACCAAATAATTAGGCATATGTGGGGTCGAGAAGATAAAACAAGTTTGTCCGCCAAAAAAACACAACAAAATAATTTTTACAAAACAAAATCACAATGCCCTCGATTTACAGGTCAGTTAAAAAATTCATGTCTATGTATATAGTTTTTCCAGTGGTATGTCTTTTATGGTTTAGGGCCCTATTTCTGGGAATTCGACCACAATATAATTTGTTACTTCAAACTTCTGATGAAAATATATGCCTAGGTCTTTTTTATTTTATAAATTGACTAGCCGATATACCCATTGAAAAGGAGACATGGAAGAGAAAACATTAGTTCTTCCTTCAAATCTACCATATGAAATTGATACTCATCCATTATAGATAGGGATGGTCAAGTCTCGAAATTTCGGGAAATTTTCGGGAAATTTTAAATCTCGTTACACGAGACGAGATTTCTTTTTGGCTGAGATTTTTATCGAGACAAGAATAAGAAAAAAAAAAAAAAAAAAAAATTAAAAACGCCTGCAGAAAGTGAATGCAATACCCGCAATACAGGAGCGTGTTGTAGTTGCGTTTCCTTTGCGAAGGCGTTCTTATTTAATTAATTCTTTAAATGTAAATATTACTTTAATTATTTTAATAATATTACTTTAATAACATTTGAGAAGTTTTGTTAAGTGTAAGCAGTGTGAGGAATGTTTTATTACTATAAAAAGTCAAAACAAGTAACTATTTTATAAAAATTAATATTGCTTTTATTTTATGATTTATTTTTTTAACTATTAATTATTATTAATGATTTATTTTATTAATAAAATAAATTATAAAATAAAAGCAATATTAATTTTTATAAAATAGTTACTTGTTTTGACTTTTTATAGTAATAAAACATTCCTCACACTACTTACACTTAGCAAAACTTCTCAAATGTTATTAAAGTAATATTATTAAAATAATTAAAGTAATATTTACATTTAAAGAATTAATTAAATAAGAACACCTTATTTAATTAATAAATATATATATATATATATATATATATTTGAACAAATCATAAAATAAAAGCAATATTAATTTTTATAGGATAGAGTTATTATAGGATACGAGTTCAACTTATCCTTTAGGATAAGTTGAACTCTGTCCTAACTGATATCACTATGTTTCCTAATCGTAGGCATTTTTAATAAGTTAGGCGTGATTAATAAAAAAATGTTATGCTGATTTTTTAAAATAAAAGATTGTAAATATTCTTGCCTATTATCATTATTTTTGTATTTAAACAGTCATCTAACAATGTTACAAAATCAGGTAAAAATTTTGAACGTGCATTTCCCGTTGTGTATGAGAAGGGAAATCCCGTCTCGATCTCGTCTCGAAATTTTATGAGAAATAAAAAATCTCGTCTCGTCCCGTCTCGAACTAAAAATCCAATCTCGTCCATCCCTAATTATAGATAATAGAAACAAAATTAAACTGCACCAATTTATTGAATAATAATAAACAATTGAATAATAAAAGAATTATTTTTTTATTGAGGTAAGTAGGCTAATGGATATTTATCAGGCTACCTAGTATGAAGCACTGATGCACATATGAAAGAACATTTGGATGAATGACATTTACCAAAGAATACTCTGAATACTAATTATCTTCTCTGAACAAAGCTCGGTCCCCCAGGTACTGCATGTGAGTAAATATATGACGTTTTTGGTCAATATTTCTTATTTCTTAACAGCAGGTTTACCTTACTGACGAAAATAGATGAAAATGAACAAATGAGACATTGAATTTTTTTAGCTGCTAATTTCCTTCTTCAAAAGTAGAGTCTTTCCATGTTGTTGTAGGTTAGGAGGGTGGAAGCATCGATATATAACTACTACTGGATTGCGCGCTGTCCATAAGAGCTGTGTAGAGAAATTCGGTCGCATACAGGTGTGAGTGGCAGGACGTATCGCGGTGTTGCAGGCGCCCGGTAGGGGCAAAACAGCAACTCGCGCCGCCGCCCGCTGCTATTCCCGCCAACGAACTATCCCGCCAAAAAATTATTCCGCCACTAGCAACCCCGCCAAAAGTTTTTTTTAACAATTCGAGATCATGTATGAAGAAGCAAAAGTAAACCACCTATGAATGAATCATCCTGCCAGTTATTAGTGGACGGATAGCACTTGCACGTGGTAGTTTGGTTAGCAATGTATGAATTAATGAAATATGAAATAATGATTTATTCCACCATAATTACATTACATACAAATGAAATAAAAACTTAGAATTACGTTGCCACAGCATCCAGTTAATGTGACAACGTTCAATAAAAATTAACAATATAAAGTACATTCTATAAACTTTCAGTCCAGTCCACACATGAAAAACACCTTGCCGCTCTCTGTGGCGTCTTGATGACAGTTGTTAAATTAAACAAAATAACAATATTATTACAATAATAGATATTTACAATAAAAATATATTAAAAAATGAATCCTATATAAGCAGTATAAAATAATGTAAATCGAAAATTTAAAACAAGATATGCAGATTTGATAATTACAATACAAAACGTTAAATTTGCAAAGATTTAGAAAAAAATTCTTTATGTTACAACACTATTTTAAAAATCTATATTTGGCGTCTCAATTAACCACTTTTTTATTTGAATAGAAAATGACTTTAAAATTGCACTGCTTTTGATATTGTGAGGTAATTGGTTGAAATATTTTGGACCACTGTACTGATAAGACTGTCTTAATATTGATTTGTTTACTTTGGGCAATCTAAATAATCTTTGACTGTTGCTTCTTGTGTTGTATGAAAGATTGTTTGTTCCATTATTCCCACTTCGAATATAAAAAAGTCTGAATACTTTATAAAAGAACAGGTGTTGAATTGAAAGTATTTTTAAATGGACAAATAATGGATAGGAGCTATCTCTCTTCTGAGACGGAAGGTCAAAATTCTTCAACCGCGGATAAACAGAAGAGATGCTAGGATAAAATCCATGCGTGAAATGATTGTAGTGTTTAAGAAAAAAACTTAAAGCACCTGATAGGTTAATAGAGGTTTTAGAGGAAAAGTTGTCAGGATTTCCGTTAGATTTAATTGCCCATTCTATGAAAAATAGCAACACCAGTAAATTCAGGACCGTGTATTCAGAAAAAATGAAAGAATTTGCACTCACTCTATTTTTACAGTCCTAAGGCATTCAAATACAGAGACAAAGGTGATTGTTAATTGCGATATTGATGACTGTGAAGAAAACGATGTACCTGAATAAATAAATAATTTTTCATTTAATTTATTTATTTTTTCATTTCTTTTCATTTACATATTTTTGGTCGAGTTTCGACCATTGGACGGCCTCTAGTCAATATTATATGTCTGGTTTTATTGTTAGAAAAATATTAGGTACAGTAACATCCTTGCAGTAACATGTGAAGAATGTGTTAGTCTTTTGACAGCTGACGAATGCAATTTAAGTAGCTACACCCATATGTCTAACGTTGACTTTGCAGAGGACACACATGAAATTAAGCTGATAAAATCGGAAATTTGTTTTTTTTAATAATTTGCTACAGTCATGCTAAAGAGCAAACCATTGCACTGTCAAAAGTTGGTATTCGTCAAAAGCTAACAAAATTAGTACTTTTTAATCATGCGTGAAATGTAGGCTACTCTTTGTGGTACTGTATTCAAATACAGTAAATGGTTTTTATACAACTGTGCTGTATTTTTATTGTTTAATTTATCAACCTTTTTATAAAACCTATAACCCAAACCATCCAAGAATTTTTTTAAAAATACAAATACTATGTTATCGCCCAACTTTATAACAATGTAACTACACGTTGTACTGTATAGCAATTAATTGATTACCGGTACTAACTTATATACTTTCGGTTTTTAAATAACTATATAAGTGAGTCAAAATATCCCCCGATGAACATTTTTCGTGAATCAATATTTAAAATAGGGTAAACAAATGCTATCACAGCGTCAGTGCGATGTAAAACCCAAGCACCGTGCGGGTTTCTTGCCCCTACCCGACGCCTTCAAGTGCAGAACGCAACCACTGATTTCGGCTCGGGCTAGCGAGCTCAGCCAGCAATCCAGTAGTAGTTATATATCGATGGGTGGAAGAAGAATACACTCTCCAGTCTATGGGTTTTTGTCACTATCACTAAATCATCACTGAATTATACTATACAATCTATATTTACAAAAGCCTACTGTTTACCTATGTTAGTAAATCATTTGCAAATTAAAAGATGAATTGAACGGCAGCAAATTAAATGTTTTGTTTTCCTTACATCTTGGCAGTTAAATAAAATAGTATCATTTTGGCCAACAGTTGGGTTGCAAGAGGGGGGAGGGGAGATGGCCAAGAATTGGAAAAAGTAAAAGTGCTTTGAGATTGGTGTGCATAAATAAATTTTAGAAACTAGAGACGTGCAAGCAGTTTCAAAATCGAGCTGAGCAGAGCTTATATTCTAAAAGCTCGAGTGATAGAACCAATTGAGATCAAATTGAAATTTTATCCTCACCATTGCAGAAAATGTCTGTAAAGATAGTGCAATCCAAAATAAACTATGTTGCCACAATCGCAGGAGATGATGATACCTCTAACTGCAACTGCCAGAGATGATTAAGGTTTTGCGGTAAAACACAATGAAGTCAGTTAATGAGTTTTAGAAAATTAAAAATCTAAAATCTCTCTGGTAATCTCTCTGTCCCAGGTACAATCGGACCTTGCTACACCACTATTGACCAAAAAGATGTTGTTTATGGTAAATATGACAATGTGTTGTTAAGTTAAGGTATAACTGGGATGAAATATGAACTTCACAAACATTAAAAACTCCATTATCTAATGCTAGAAAATTAAAACTTACTTTCAAATGCTTGCTGTGCTCTTTCAGGATCATCTTGATTTTTATCAGGATGGACCAAAATTGAAAGCTGAAAATAAAATAAAATGAAAAGTATGCATACAACCTATTTAAAACTAGGCATAATAATTCATATATAAATGAACATACATGCTATTTTTTTAATAGGCAAGATGTCTGGCAAGCATACAAAAACATTTTAATTTACTTAATTTGGGCCTAGTTTATTTTAACTCTAAAAATTAGTGTAGGGAGAAATTGGGGAATTTTATATCTTAAAGGTTTAAAATGAGAAAAGCACAAATTTTCGCCCCAGAAAACCCTGTTCTCATAGTGCTATCAATCAAGCTGGTTCGCAATATTGTTGGAATAAATGTAGATTTACATGGGTTTAAAATACAAATTTCATCAAAATAGGATAATTTTTCCTAGAGTCATTGTGCTAATGGATCGTGTATATAAATTTGAAAGGATGGTTTTATTGGACTCTCAGGACCTCAAAATGACAAAGTAAATCGGTCCCAGGTCTTGGTTTTACCATGAGACCTACAATATTAGTTTTAAACTCCCTACATGGGAAATTTACTAACAGATGACTTGAACAGTACGACATGAAACTTCAAGTAATTGACTATTGTGAACAAGAAACTTTCAGTAATAGAGGTTAAATATTTTTCGATCACAAAAGGTCAAAATTATACTTAGGCCTATCAAGGTTAAATATAAAGCCTTCCACTTTTAAGGTACTAGCTGCTTTACCCATGCTTCGCAACGGGAAGATGTACTATAGGTACCGCCTAATCCAAACCTTTGTTTAGTAAAGTAGATTGAATTTATAAACAAAGAACCACCAAATTTTTACAAAAATGTATGACTTACTGTATGCTAATTGTCCTACTGTTTACATTAAAATATATCAATAACATAATTTTCATAACTTATGGTTATAGAATCTTTCTTAATTTCCATAATCAATAACATAGCCTTTAAATAAATCTAGGCTGCCACATAGTTGTGTAAAATATTTTATTTTATTTGTTTGGATCAGCGGTCTGAAATTGTCAAACGAGAATTCAACAGTTCTGATTGTTTACATTGAAATGTCAATACAATTTAGGTAAACAAAGGTTGTGAATTTTCTCATGCTCCCATGGAGACCAATTAATATTTTAGTTTTGAAAACCTCACCTCAAAACTTTGGTCATCCAAGGGACGAAGCCCCAGAGGAACTCAGGGAAGTGAATAGGCCTATGACATTCCTATATGTGGACTATTGGTGTGTTTAATTTTGGCTGTATTGGTTAAGTATTATAGTCCTCAGGGCAGCCGGACAGACAGACACCACCTAAATTTTATAATAATATAGATTTTTAACATTTCAGATTTAGGTACCGGGTTTTAAAGAGGAAATTAACAAATCATAAAATATTCGAGACATGAAGGTTCGAGTTTATATTAGGTGCTACAGAAATATGTATGTTTATTTTTATTTTTAGACATCACTGTCTTTATTTCAGTCACACAATTGACTGAGCCACCAACTCATTCTACACTTACTTTCCAACCCTTTTTTGATATATGCAGAAAATGGAAGCCAGTGTTTGTGCGAGTAGCAGAAAGAGCTGATTTTGAAGTAATTCTGCGATGATTTAAGTTGATATTTTAGTTTTATTCTATATTGTCAGTCAGGAGTCGGAGGTTTGAATAGTTTTCTTAATAAATAAATAATTATGATATAGTAAGTATTTACTCTTTTATATTTTTTCTTCGCTTCCTCCAGTGATGTCTCTGGTTCAAGCTGCAAGACTTCAAATGGATTGAGATTAAAGTAAGTTGATCCTGGACGCAACAGGCGGTCAATCTGCTGTTTGGGAGTTAAAACAGAATCTCTCTTTTCAATTTCTTTGACCTAAAACATAAAATCTGTCTTTAAATTGATCAATATTAAAGATGTTTAATTTAAAACACACACTATGAATTAGTTACCTGATTTTTTAGCCTTCAACCTTAAAGCTGATCGTTGTTTAAAACTAACTTATTTTACCAATGTTACCTTATACACAACCTGATACACTATTTTTTTAAGCTTACATTGATATAATACGAGAAAAGGAGATTGAGAAGATCTAAACGTTCCTTTCTGCAGGCTTAGTAAAAAAAAACTGTTATCCGGTCCTTGGTATCAGACTTTATAACCACCTGCACCAGGACATAAAGTCACTCCCTCTTAAAAGCTTTAAAAAGAGAGTAGAGGAGCTACTCAAGGCCCTGTACTCCATGAAGGAATATTTCACAGAGGAAAATGGTGAATGGACCTTGTAATCTACAGCATACAACCCTTGTTAACCGCATAAATATATAAAGTATTAAAACTAAAATGTTTTAAAATGTTTTTTCTTTGGCGGAATCTATCCAGTCACTACTGGTCATCGATGGATACATGGTATAAGGTGTTAGGTATAAGGTTCCGATTGTTACAATTTAAGGGTAATCCAATGGTAGTGGATGCGGTGGACAGCCTGATCCAGCATGTCTTGAGCTCCTTTGAGTTGGGTGGCTTTGCTGGGGCCACCTTGTGTGACCTCAGTAAGGCTTTCGATACTGTGGATCATGACGTGCTACTCTGTAAGTTAAATCATTACGGTTAATCGGAGGTGTCGAACTGCAACTGCTCCGGTCATACTTGGGGGGACGTGAGCAGCTGGTTGTTGTGAATGGCCAGTGCTCTCGGTCTCGTCCTGTAGCCCATGGTGTTTCGCAGGGGTCTGTCCTCGGGCCTCTGCTATTTATTATGATGAATGATTTGCCCAGTCATGTTGAAGGTGGTGTGGTCTGTTATGCAGATGACACAACACTGGTTCATAGCTCAACAAATTTTCAAAATCTTGAGGAACTCATGGAGTAATCCCTTGTACAGGCATCGGTTTGGTTCCATGCTAACTTTTTGTCTCTCAATGAAACCACACAACACAATCTTTGGTCTTTACGTTGAAAAACACTAAAAGAAAAACACAAGATGTGACCTCTGTTCTAAAAGCTCTTGGGTATTTGCATTGATACAAAACTGACTTGGAGCCCTCATATAACCTTGGTTTGCAGTAAACTTTCCAGAGTTATCTTCCTTTTGAGAATTCTAAAAAGTTGTCTAAACAAAAACTGTTTAAAAAAGCCTACCGTAGCTTTTTTTCAAAGAAGTTCTTTTGTATGGGCTCAGACTCTGGGGTGGGTCTGCTGAAATTAATGATGTACTGCTAATACAAAAAAGAGCTGTAAGAATCCTAGCAAACGCTGAGTATGATGCCCCTTGCAGACCTCTCTTTGTAAATGAGGAAATCATGACTGTTTGTAGTTTGTATGTTTTTGTTTCAGTTGAGCATGTAAAAAATGATCTCCAGTCACTTAGTCGTAGGGGTGATTATCATGTACAATACCAGAAATAAGAACATTATTGATGTAGCCTACCTTATGTTAGGTTTAAGTAAAACAAAAAGAAATTCCAGTCAGTTATGCATAAGGCTTCTTAACCACATTTCTTGTACAGCTTGGAACGAAACCAACAGAAAATTCAAAAACAACCTCCGGGCACTTTTATTGGCTTTCCCACTTTATAAGACCAGCGATTTCTTCGACATTCCCAAGGAGACTGTGAGAGAGTTTTTCCTATGTACGTAAGTAACAGATTGTTTTGTTTTGACAGTAGTTTTGTGCATGGTTTGTTTTTGGTTTTGTTTGCTGTGTGATTTTTGCATTTTAGTTTTAATTTTTATGAAAATTGTATATTTTTACCGTATGTGTTCTGACAATGCCTAAGTACCTATTGCAGTACTAAGCAATAGTACCCTATTTACACTGGGATTTTATGTAATTTTTATATGTCTACTTACAGTATTTTTAACGCTGAATCCAAAAATGCAATCAGTTTTGGACGGAGAGATTCCTAAGTGGCCGTACAGTTATATAATTAATATTAAGCTTCAGTTTTGTTGATTTATTAACATATTTGTGGTATGGACGAGTCCAAAATCTAGTGGCGACTAAACTAAAAGGGGTGGAAGGTTTGTGGAGTGGAAACAGCTGTCAGTTGTTAACATTCTATACTAAACAGACAAAACCACAGACGACGCCATGAGAGCAAAATCAGAGTTACAATATACAATAACTAGATAAAAAAGAAAATGCACTTTGGTGCTGTTTATAAAATACAATAAATCAACTACCATACATAAACTATTAATCACATGAACATAAATTATAAAACAAAATAGAATTTATTCACGTAAAATATCAGTACCTAATAGAAGCTAGGCCACTGCCGACATGATCATCGTCCTCATTCCAATCCTCAACCCATTGACTAATGCCTCAACGTCTGGTAATGAACGTGCCATAGTGCATAATCCCATAGTACATAATCCCATTGTGTCTAAAAGTGAAAACGTGCCACAGTGCATAATTTAATGTATCAGCAACTAATAAATGATGTTACATAATCTAATCTAATCCAACCTAACCCAACCCAACCTTAATATTAAAGTTTAAATCACATTTTATGTCAGAAAAGGCATGTGAGGAAGATAGGTCGGACTTTATGCGGATTCGTGACTATATTAAGTCCTTTGAAGTGAGGTTAGATTAGGTAAGTTAACCCTCCGAGTGTCCATAGTTTAGGCCTTAATGTCCGCCTATTTTTGGCGCATTTGCAAGGTTTTATTAAAACGGATCTGAGAAGCTTAAAACAATGTTAATTCTACTGTTCTATATACCATTTTGTTTGGAAAATCATGGGCTTCAATATTATACATAAAACATAAGGAACATTTGTTTCAAAAAAATTTTTTAGGTAAAAAAAAATATTTTGGAAAATTTTCAAAAAAAAAATAAGTTCGCGCTCAATGAAATTGTATAAAAATTATAGGCCTAGCCTATAAATATTTGAAAATAGCCACTTTGCTCTAAATTTTATGAGGATTACAAATATATCATAATATAAGGAAGTAGATTTGCAAATAAATAGCCTAAGTTATGGGCAAAAAACAGATTTCAGTACATAGCGTTTAGCTAAGAATGCATAGCCTAACCATAGCTAGGAATCTGGCTGATAATTTACATCAATATCACTACCTACTTCTTCAGGATCATCAACCAGCCCTTCAAAATCACTTAAATCTTCTTATAATGCACCACGTAGGCCTATATCACTACTTTTGATTTTTAACACTAAAACAATGATAAACGTAATAAAACACATCAGTCATCGGTCCGAGGGTAACCTAGCTGTTTACAAATATGCACGTCAGCTGTCTGCTACAATTACGATCGGCTCGGAGAACATAAAGCGCTTAGAGACAGACCTCTGGAGAAAGCGTAGAATATAACGAAAAGAACGATACCTAACTCGATCCAGTTCAATCCGATTCAGTCAGTCATAGAGCCTTCGCCGTAAACGATGTTCGTGCGTCGAAAAATCGACGCGTGACACTACACAAAGTGTGTCGCGCGTCGATTTTTCGACGAGTGACGCTCGGAGGGTTAAAGGTTAGGTTATAATGAACCGACTCATAATTTATGCAACTTCCAGACTGTTTTTGCACAATTGAAATAGTGGGTGAAACACAATGAAATAACAATATCAAAAATGCTGGCGCATTTTTGATATCGTTATTTCATTGTGTTTCACCCAAACTACTTATTTAATTGTGCAAAAACAGTCTGGAAGTTGCATAAATTAATGAGTCGGTTCATTATAACCTAACCTTTAAGACCTTCCTAATCTAACCTCACTTCAAAACACTTAATACAGTCACGAATCCGCATAAAAAACCCGATCTACCTTCCTCACATGCCTAAATAAGAACTGATCATTTGGTTTCAAAACTAATTGATTTGATTTCATTCCGCATTAGATCAAGTATAAACAGTTGTTTGCTCTTCTCACTCAGTCCTTACTCCTCACTCTTCACTCAGTACGGACCCGTCCAGACCACGCCATATTACCATTACCTTCAGTACCGCTAAATTTTCCTTGTTAGATTCGTAATCCTAACCTTCGTTTTACGGCCGCTACCGCCACTTAGGAATCTCTCCGACCAAAACTGATTGCATTTTTGGATTCAGCGTTAAAAATACTGTTAAGTAGACATATAAAAATTACATCATATCCCAGTACGGTAAATTTTTGCCCTATTGCTTAATGGAAAATAAAGCATTTCATTTAATTTCATAGTACAGTTTCTTAACTGGGCTAAGTTAAGCTTACCGGGTACTCTAATATCGATTGAAACTAGGCCTATCAATTTGATTAGTAACTTAAACCTTCATTTGATTTGTTCATCCTCAGCAAGTTTGGTTGATTTGGTTGGTTTAGTTAGGATAGGTTATGATAGTTTCATTTTATAACTGATAACTTAGGCTATATAAATAGGCCTAAGTTAACTTAGGCCTCTAAGTTTAAAATATTGATTAGGCCTAAGTTTTAAACTTTTTAATCAATAACTTACGCATAGTTTCAATTGATAGTTAGCGTAGCCCAGTTAAAAACCCGTACCCTGCAATGGAGTCAGATATCAAAGTTTTTTTTCAATTTTATTAAAATTCTATTTAGGAGCTTAGCCTAGTTGCCTAGGCCTAATTCTGGGCACTAAGTTACAGCTTTGCCTGTACCATTTTAATCAACATAGGTCCTTAGGCTAACTAATAGGCTATCGTTTAGTACATATGCAAATGAAATTTTTGTCAATCATTCTAGTGAGAGCCATTTTGCCTAAATATGTCATCTAAAAACCTAAAAATTGAGGGTATAAACCAGGCCTAAGACTCCTAGGGCCCTAGCTGAAACGCATCGTCAATAACAACAGGCAACGATCATTTAAAAAACTATAAATTTTAGATGGTTCGACAAATTTTATATTTAATAGATTATACAGCTTAACTTACTTCGGTGTAAAACTCCTTAAATTCGACTTCTTTGGCAGGTGGAGGGACGCCTGTGGCGAGGGACGCCATTTTGATTAAGATTATTTCTTGTTTTTGTTTACGATTTTAATTTTGATTTTTCCGATTCTCTTCGCGCAAAAAAAGCAGGCTTGGATATTTTCCATGCGACTCGGATGTTAGCCTAACTTCATTGGTTCATCGGTTTTCATTCAATTTTAACCGTTCATAAATCATATGGAGTTAACTGAAGCTAAACTGAAGCGAGCATTTCATGACAGGAAAATGCCGCACTTTAGTCCAGTCAAGGAATGAGGTGTAGAGTGCGTGAGCAGGTAACTAAGCGATTCCTTCAGAAACTTATTCAGGGGGCTTAGGGTATTAACATACCAAAAGTCCTGACTCCTAGGTGGTGAGCCAGGGGGTAGAGAGGGGAAAAAGGGGGGGAGAAAGGTACGCATTTTGGGTTTTTTATTATATCTCGAAAACTATCAACTTTTTGTATACTATAGTAAATTATAAAATTGAAGAAGATTAAATTTTCTACAAGAAAAGTATATAATGTGTTTATTTTGGTTCAACAGATTACGAGTTATAACTTATTTAATTGATATCTTATTAAAATCTTCTTCCATAAGAAATACATGTAAATTAGTATGCGAAATGGGGCGAATCCTATCCGCCCAAAGGAAATATAAATGATATTCTGGAAATCTTGACAAAATTTCTAGTAATTTGACACTTTAATCATTAAAATTGATCCAAAATTAAGGCGAGGGCGAGGTAACAAAATTTCGAGTTTTGGTGTTTTTTTATTGGAAATATAAAAAAAAACCTTAAATCATCCCATTTTTAAACGCTCACCCTCGCTTTAATTTTTGACAAAATTTCATGATTAAAGTGTCAAATTACTGGAAATTTTGTCAATATTTCCAGAATATCAGTTATATTTCCTTTGGGCGGATAGGATTCGCCCCATTTCGCATACTAATTTACATGTATTTCTTATGGAAGGAGTATTTTAATAAGATATCAATTAAATAAGTTATAACTCGTAATCTGTTGAACCAAAATAAACACATTATATACTTTTCTTGTAGAAAATTTAATCTTCTTCAATTTTATAATTTACTATAGTATACAAAAAGTTGATAGTTTTCGAGATATAATAAAAAAACCCAAAATGCGTACCTTTCCCCCCCCCCTTTTCCCCCCTCCACCCCCTGGCTCACCACCTAGGAGTCAGGACTTTTGGTATGTTAACACCCTAAGCCCCCTGAACAAGTTTCTGAAGGAATCGCTTAGTTACCTGCTCACGCACTCTACACCTACTTTTGGATCATTCATTGACTGGACTACTTATGCACATGCGCTAGTAACTGAACTGTCATAGCCTATGTCGCATCTGTAGCAGCTGCAGCATTTTCAGAAAATCAAACAAACTACTGTAGTATCTTCACTGCAACTGTTGCAACAATCTACTTGAAACTGGAACGGTTCACCAGTAGCGCTTCGCTATAAACTCCAAACCATTAAATTTACTGATAAATTTTACAAATTATGCGTTTATGTTTTTATTACTTTACTTACTGTAGCCTCTGGCATCTCCTTTATTTTATAAAATATATATTAAGTAACTTGGGTGGGATTAGCTACCGTTATCTATAGTTTCGATTGTACCCAAACATATTTTCCTAAAGAGATGATGCCAATCCTCAAAAAGCTTAGACATTTAATGGTAACCTAACCAACAGAGGCCAGCTCGCTCCCCACCTCAATTATATTAAGACTTCTGACTTCTTTTAAGTGCAATGTTAATTTTTAACCTCAAATAAGTTAATTACCAGCAAACTGTCACAAATAAAGACCAATCGTTCGTGGTAGACCTATCCTAGGAATTATTGTAGCTTAAAATGGTGTGTCATTTACTACTATGGTGTAGAAGGAAAGAAAGAAGTTATACTTAGCAACAGTAACAATTTTATTGATGTATTGTTGTTATGTGTAATTGGTTTATTGCCATTTATACATGATTTGTAGTTGTTTGAGCAATGTTAAACTCACCCAACAAAATAAATTTGTTTTAATATCCTTATTAACAGTTTTTAAACAGGCTTCAATGTATTATTCAATATAGGACCGATTTAGTCATCATTTAGGTATTAATTACACAAAATATTAATTAAATAGCAATTGTATATATACAAATTTTTTTTTACAATTTTATTTACAATCTGTTCATTTTTAGAACATTTAGCAAATACAATAACAACTTTTAATAAAACGTTAGTTAATCTCTGTCCATTGACAGAGCTAACTTAAAAATATTTCAATGAAAAAATAAATATGTAAATAAACAAGGGAAAATTAAATTGTTCAAACAAAACGTGTGCTTAGATCCAAAACATGAATCCTTTTTAGCCTGTATATACTGGTACTGTTGTCCAAGAGGTTTAGAGCCAGGTGATTAGGGTGATTTTCAAGTTTCTTTAGATATTTTGCACTAAATTTGGTTATTTCCTCTTCAACCGTAGGAATTCCACTGTCCTTGTGAAGGATATTGTTATTAACATACCACGAGGCTTGCAGAATGAACCTTAAAACTTTTGACTGAAATCGTTGGATGATGTTTATGTTCGACATACTGGATGTTCCCCACAGTTGGATTCCATAAGTCCAAATTGGCTTCAGGATTACTTTGTATAGTAATAATTTGTTTGCAATGGTCAATTTTGATTTACTATTTAGGAGCCAGGAAAGATTTTTAAATTTTGAATTTAGGTACATTCTTTTATTGAGTCCAGATATGGTTTTTCCATGTTAATCTTTTGTCAATCGTCATGCCGAGGTATTTCACTTCGTGGGATTGCGGAATTTGGATATTATTTAAGGTTACAGGAGGACAAGTACCTAATCTGGTAGTGAAGGTCACATGAGTAGATTTGCTCTCATTCACTTTTATTTTCCATGTTTGCAACCATTCTTCTAAGTCATCTAGGGAATTTTGAAGATTAAGTGAAGCTACCACTGGATCAGGATGGGACGCTAAGGCCTACCATACACGTTCCGGTTTTCCTTCAGTCCCGGACTGTACAGTCCTGGACTGAAGGAAAAACTGAACGTGTATGTCGATTCCTTCAGGCAGATCGTTGGCCGGACGGCCAGATGTGAAACACGTCCGGCCAGGCCCGGCCTTGAGGCCGATTTGAACGTGTATGGCGAATCCCGCAGTCCAAGACAGTGCTGCTTCCCCCCTCCCCCTATAAATTTTAAGCATTATCGCATTCGCATCCTTTCTTCATCGTCAGTCAACTACTGGTGAAAACATAATCGGAGTTGTGTTGTTTGTTGTTTTGTTGGTATAGTTTTCGCATTTTGGCGCTGTAGTGTTGTGTAGTGATTTCGTTAAGTACTTCACATTAATCATGTCTACCTGGTCAAGAGACTTGACACTCGAATTCATAGAGAAATAATACCAAGGTCACGAATGCATCTGGAAAATAAAAAAACAAAGAAATCCACAACAGGGAAATGAGGGCAGCAACCTATCAAGAATTATTGGATTTTGTGAAGAAGGCGGACCCAAAAGTCACAAAAGACACTGTGGTTAAAAAAAAAATTAAGAAGTGCGTTTAGAAAAGAGTTGAAAAAAAAATAAAATCGTCTCAAAAACTCCAAACTGTACAGTTCCGGACTGAGCGTGTGTGGAGAGGTCACGACTCTGGCCAAACTGTGCAGTTCCGGCCTAAAGGCCAGGCCTTGAGGCCGGGACGGAACGTGTATGGCAGGCCTTCAATAGCTGTATAGTCAGCAAAAGTGGCCACAGAAGTATTCACATTTTCAGGTAGATCGGCTGTAAACAGCGTATATAGTACAGGTCCGAGAACACTTCCTTGGGGAACGCCAGCTTGAATTGGGTACAATTTTGTAATGCTATCTCCAAATTTAACTCTGAAATATCTGTCGGTTAGGTATGATTTGATTGTCATATAAAATGTATGAGGAAGATTCAGTTTGAGTTTATAAAGTAGGCCTGTGTGCCAAACTTTGTCAAAGGCTTGACTTACATCGATAAAGACAGCTGTACAATAGTTCTTTTTCTCAAGGTCTTCTTTAATTGTATTAACCAATCTATGTGCTTGTTCAACTGTGGAATGCTCCCGTCGAAACCCAAACTGATGATTTGGAATCAAGTTTCTGTCCTCTACTTCTTCAAGTAGACGATTCAAGAAGAGCCTCTCAAACAATTTGGATGTTATTGGAAGTAGACTGATAGGTCGATATGAACTTGCTTGTTGGGGTGGTTTTCCTGGCTTTGCTATCATGATTATTTCTGAAACTTTCCATTGTGACGGGAAATACTCAGTCCGTATAATTGAATTAAAAATGAGTGTCAGGTATATAAATGCTTTTCTATGAAGCTCTTTCATTACTTTTCCCGTGATAAAGTCGTATCCAGGGGCTTTAAACAGTTTTAATACCGTTCTTACATTATAAATGTATAAATTAGAATGAATATTGAATGCATCAATCACTGTGTGCGTAGTAGGGTAGTATAGTGAGAGACGTGTAGTCGCAAGGCTGCGCCCGAGCGTCGGCGGGTCCCAAATTTTGCTTCCTCTTCTACCTGATTTATTTCCAAAACTACTCATCATTAATTAAAATACCCCCGCCGCAGCAAACCTGCCGACTAAGCGAATTTCCATTTGTCTGAATTGATTTTCAGTTAAATATATTTTAATAACATTAGGTTTAACCAGTACCTAGGTTTGCTGCTACAAGGAAACTAATAAAGTGTGTTTTTGAGTAAAATATTGATAGCTTAGTACAAAATAAATAAATTTGCCAAGTTTGATCAAAATATATCCATAAACAAGCAAACTACAACATTTGACAATATTCTCCATAAAAATAACATGGGAATTTTAAATTTACAATTTTTTAAATTTTCTCCGTTACTAATAATTGAACAAAAAAACTTTTATATACTAAATTATTTGTTTTTTTAAGCTCTTTAAAAAGGTCTAAAGAGAAATCGGGAAATTTTGTGTTTTGAGGGTCAAAAGTGAGAAAAACCAATTTTTACCCCCTAAAACCCCCCATAAAGCCCCGTTCCCATGGTCCGATCGTGCTGGTTCGCGAACTCATTCCAGTTTA